CGGAATTTGACACTCGCGTCGGGGACCTGCTGACCCCACCAGATTGCAACCTACTGCGGTAAGGCTCTGGCTGGCCCCGGAAATCAACAACATCTGAGGTTAGTGAAGATAACAGCAAGCACAGACAGTCAAACAAGCATACGATTCACCACAAGCAGACTGCCCATGCCCCCATAACAGGACAACCATTTCTCAAGGGACTTCCCGTCAGTCTCCAGAGATACTGAACAATAACATGTTAGCCAGCACTAAGAGTTTGCAAGAGACCTCCCTTCAGCCTCAGGCAAAGAACTTGGTACTAGCCCCAAAGAGGTCCCTTCCCTCAACTGGGATTTCTTTTCCAAGAGACGTCCCGTCAGTCTCAAGTACTGAAACACTGATCTTAGAGAGGTCCCTTCCCTCGTCTGAGTGAAGACAGGTCCTTAGCCAAAGGCACGAAGTCCCTCTACTGACCACTTTCGATCAAGTAAAGTTGAACTTCTTCATGCTTGCCTTCATCTAAATCTTTTGGATGGACATTTTTACTCAGAGACTCGAAGTCCTTCTGCTGATTACTCTTAGTCGAGCAGAACTGAACTTCCTCATGCCCACCATGCTCTTCTCTTTACTTTAGGATAGTATTGATCATATCTTTTGATGTGCCACAACCATGAGCTTCTCAAATCTTTGACACTGTGTCAATACGTAAAAAACTGATTTTACAATTATTTCGCCACTCTCAGGGACTTGACACTCATGGAACGACTGTAGCACTGCCTCAAAAGATATAGTCTTAGTCGTTTGCTGAAATATTGAATGAAAGGACTTGCTGAAAACTGAGATACTGAAACTGAGATGTTGAAACTGAAAACCGAAATTAAATCACCGAAACTGAAATGATGAAACTGAAGTTCTGAAACTGAAATGCTGAATCCGAAATGTTGAATTGACTATGCATGAATGATCTGAGTCAACTGAAACCGAGTCTTGTTGTTTCACTGTATTTCAGCTTCTCACTGTATTTTTTTTTTCCTCAGTCCTCTATGACTGTTTTCTCACTTGGATGGCTGACTTCTCTTTCCTCTCTTTGAAGTCACTGTAGGGATCAAGTCGGGATCTTTGAAGATAAACTTACGAAGTCTTGACCCTGACACCATGTCATGAACCCTGGATCCATCCATCTCTGAAATCACATAAACTTTGCCCTCCGCTTCCCCTGTGATTCTGTAGGGACCAAGCCATCAAGGCTCCAACCTTTTAGTCCATTGCGTCTCAAGGGAACTGTCAAACAGAAGGACAACATCTCCAATCTTCAATTTCTCTTTTCTTATATATCTTTTCTTGTTCCACCTTTCTTGATCCGATAGTCTGTTGGATGCCATCCTCTCTGCTGCATCCATCACTGCCTGATCAACTTCAAATATCTGCCTCATTCTGATCTGAAGGAGTTCTGARATAGAATAGTCTTTGTCGCTTTCTTGACTTGACCATGTCTTGACAATACTCTCAATAGCATACTTGCAAGCGTACGTCGTACGCGACATTCCAGATGTCTGGCGCACGGGCCAGACCGTACCGTACGGCGCACGACTGTTTGGCGCACGGCCCGAACCCCGCCCCCCCCCCAAAAAAAAAAAAAGGCGGGGGTCGAAACGGCACATCGGAGGCCCCCCGCCAAAAATGTTGCGACGGCCAAAAAAAAAAATTTTCCCACCCCGCTCAAGGCCGGACCGCCAGGTTTCAAATTTTCGAAACCTACTGTTTCGTGGACTTCCTACTGTTTGTTCGCTTGGCTGGGCCTCGGTAGGGTTGTCATCTGTCGCGGCCATTTCGAGGAGCTACCGCCGCCGTTCTCAAGCGCCTTGCACTCAGAGGAGGTTTGCCGTGCTGCCGTGCTGCCGTGCTGCTGCTGCCGAGGAGCTGCTGCCATCGCCCCGGTGAGTACCTCGACCTCCCCTTCATCGTCCTCACTGCCTCCTCCTCCTCCTCCTCCTCTCCTCCCGCTGGTCCTCCTCCTCCTCCCCTTCCTCGTCCTCCATCTCTCCTCCTCGTCCTCCGTTCTCGTCGTCGTCTTCCTCCTCCTCCTCCTCCTCCTCCTCCTCTTCCTCCTCCTTCGTC